ATACCTGACCATATCAATACTTTGAATCAGATTTTTCTGTACTTGGATATAATCAAACCTTAGCGTACAAATAAAACAATGTAAGTTAAATAAAAATCTGAAATAGTGACATTTTCCGTAGATGATATGTTCGCTAGCTAGATACACTGAAAGAGACAAACTTGTAATACCATCTATTATCTAAGAAAACTCTTTTCCTAACCAACCACTCCTTCAAACTGAATCATCCTACATATATCGAATCAAGCAGGAATTAACCTCACTCGAGCGTTTATTGTTCCTAGGCAGTTTCTAGTGCCTCCTTCTGAATCACCTTGAGACATCTGCCACGGCGACTACTGCCCATTTCTGTTCTGTGGATTATCTCGGGCTATGCACATTGCACGCGTCACAGCCCCCTTCAAGATGCCCTGACCCCATTTCGCGAAGACTTGGACACCGGCGATCTAGAAAAAAGGGGAATGAATAGAGGAGGAAGAGGATGATGGAGGAGCGGATGAGAAGAGGAGAAGGAGGAGGAGGAAGTGAGAGGAGATAAGAGGAGGAAGAAAAAGGATGTAAGTGAGGAAGAGAGTAGATCGGAGGAGAGGGAAGGGAAGAGGAGAAGGAGGAGGAGGAGGATAAAGGACAAAGAAGAGGAGGGGCGTCGTTTTAGAAACGACGGCATAGTACTAGAGTAGGAGGAAAGCTAAATGAGCTCTCTTCTCTTCTCTCTTCTCTCTCATTCCTCATCTGCATCTCTCTCTTCTCTGGTTTGCTGCTTGGGCAGCAGAAAAGGGTTTCAAGTTTTATCAGGGGGTTAAACCGCAAATTACTGAATTTCGGAGATTAGGCTCCACACAAAGATTTCCTCATCCTTTCTCTCATCTTGCTCTCTTTCTCTCTCTCGTATAGTACTTCATCTGTCTCACCATCACCTTGCATCTCTAACACTTCACTACCGTTTTCTCCCCGTATTTCTCTTTAAATCACTCTCTTCCTCGTCCTCTTCTTCCGCTCTCTCTCATCAGTATCTCTTTTCCGGTTCTTCGAGTCTGTTTCTTCCTGCACATGCTTTCTACGCTTTTTTCTTACGTCTCCTTCAGGGATTTCAATTGCATACTCCTTAACCTATCTCCTCTCTCGCATTCTCGTTCTCTTAGAACCATTTTTCAATAGTCTCTGTGTCCATCTCTTTTCTTTCTCTCTTCTCGAGACTTTTGCTCAATTCGTGAGGCTTTTTGCTTTATTTTGCATCGATTTCGCCGCACCACCACCAATTACTCAAATCACCTTGAATAATCTTACCTCCCTGCCCCCATTCCCCCCATTTACTTCTATCCCATCCCAGTGCTCTTTTTCCCCTTCCCCGTCACTCTAACCCTCCTACCCAACCCCTGATTCACGCGCTACCATGCACCACTTAGCCCCCCGCTCCTTGCCCATACACTACCTCAGTCACTCTCCACCTTAAAATATCTCTCCCCGCGGAAACTCCTCTTCCTCTTAACCACCAAACCTCTTCCGCAAAACTTTTAGTGGTCCCCACCGCCACTCACTGGCCCCCCGTCTAACATTTAACTCCTTAAATGGCCCCAATAACTACCCATGCTCTCCCCTTGAACCACCTGTCCCCTATTAAATTATCAAAAAGTACAAATCCCTATTTCCCTCTCTCCTACTCCTTCTCTCTCCTCCCTACTCTCCTCTCTCTCTCATCTCTCCTAACTCCTCTACGTCTACTCCTCTCTCTAAACTGTCTTCATGTCTCTCCTCTCTCTCTCTCTTTCCTCTTTAGATTCACCTCTCTAGTCCTTATCTTCATAAATATTGATCTCTCAATACTCCTCTTCAACTAGCCCCTTGGACTCTGCAGGATGCCACTCACTCGTTCGCCGGTGTTCCTCCCTGTACCTTTCCTCGTCCTTGCATCTTCGTTCTCTTCTTTCTCTCTCTACTCTACCTCCTCTTCATCTCATCGTTCCTTCTCTCTATCTTCAATCTCCCTCTTCTCTTCTCTCTCTCTTCTCTTTCATCTCACAATCTCTTCTCTGTCGTTCCTACTCTCTATTGTCTCGTACTTAACTTTGTGCCCCTTCCTTTATTTCTAAACCTTCCCCTCTCCGTTACCTCCATCCACTTTCGCTCTCTCCTCTCTCCTCGCTTGGACCCGGTCCCACTTCCCGATCTGTTCTCTCTAAAATCTATCTCCTCTCTTTATCAACGGTCTCTTCCTTCTCTCATTACTTTCCTCTCTCTCATCCTCTGCTCGTTCCTACGTCTTCTCTCCTCTCTTGCTCCTCTCTCTCCCTCTCATCTCACTTTATCTCGCCGTCTCCTTTCTCTCATAAATTACGCAATAACACCTCGTACTCTGCTCTCTCTCTCCCTCCCTCCCTCTCTTCTCTCTCTCTCTCTCTCTCTCTCTGATCTCGATCTAACATCACTACGCTCCTCTACAGTTCCTCTTCTCTCTCTCTCTCATTGTCATCTCTCTCTCTCTCTCTCCATTCTCTCTCTCTCTCTCTCCCTCCCTCTCCTTCTGGTCTCCTCCCTCTCTCTCTCTCTCTCTCTCATTCTTTCATACATCTTCATCCCTTCCTTTCTATAATTTCCTCGGCATCTCTACGCTTCTTCATGCATCTGCCTATTAACCTCTCTCTCTTCAGTCAGTCCCTCATCTCGAATCTCTAAAGAAATTCCTTCAGCTTTTATCTTGTTGCACGCCCTTCGCTTCTCTCCACGCTTGATTATCATTATCGGGCTCTCCATCACCGGCTTCTCTACATCTCTTCTCTCCTCTCTTTTTCTCTTCGTCTCCCCTCCCTCTCCAGCCCCTGCCCGGGGTCCATCGCGCCTTGCCCTACGCCCCCGAGGAGGGCCGAGGACCTACGGACTTGGCACTGCACGATGGCAGCACATGCAGGGAGGGAGGGAGGGCGAGGGCGCGGGGAAGAGAGAAGAGACGACGACCCTTTCTAAATCGACCTTCTCTGCGTCTGTCTCTCTCTTCTCTCTCCTCTTTACTGCTGTCCCTCCCGTCACCTCACCTCCCGACGCCCTCCTCGGACACATCCCTCCCCACTCCCATGCTCTCTCGGCTCTCTCTCTCTATCTCTCTCTCTCTCTCTCTCTCCCTCTCTCTCTCTCTCTCTCCTCCCTCCTCCCTCTCTCTCTCTCTCTCTCTCTCTCTCTCTCACTCTCTCTCTCTCTCTCTCTCTCTCTCTCTTCTCTCTCTCTCTCTCTCTCTCTCTCTCTCTCTCTCTCCCACCGTTCTTCCTTTCCCTTCCCCCAAACGACGGTAATCTCGCAAGGCGGCGACGAGCGGCTAAAACAACCCCGGCTCTGTGATGCTGTTATGTTAATAATTGCTAATGATATGCTGCGTTAATTACTTGCCGTGATACGTTACGCAAATGCTCGTTAAAGATGCAACATTCGCCGATACGTTACAGAAATGAGACGTTGCGTTATTTATCTTTATCGTTAGCGTAATTTATGTTGATTAAATGTTACGCCATTATTACTGGTGAATCATGTCTATACTTTACATTGATATATACATTTTTGGCTGATTAGAATATACCCCCAACTCTGCCTCTATCCCCATCATTCCCACCCCACCCACCTCCTGTCCCCTCCCCCAAGAAGCAGCCAAATTTTCAAAGGCTTTTAATAAGTTCGACAGGGGGTGAAGGGGAGAGAAGAGGAGGGGGACGGGGGTAGAGGAAGTGAAAGAAGGGAAGAGGGGAAAAGAGAGGGAAGAATTGGAGAGAGAGTGGAGGAGAAGGGGAGACATAGGGGAGAAGGGGAGGAAGGGGGATAAAGAATGGGGAAAAGAGAGGGTATAGACAGAGAGAGGAAGAAGTGAGGAACTTGGAAGAGAAGAGAGAGAGGGACGGGTTGAGAAAAAAGTCATATTTCCGGAAATTTACCAAAGGAATTTAAAGTTGGCCTCCACAATTTCTCTTGCGATACAGAAAACTTCAAAAAGTTTCTCAACGGCTGAATAAAACGGCCCTTCTAGTTTCCGAGACTTTTGTCTTCCACTCTGGGAAACTACTTCCCTTGATTTTTTCCCTTATTCTTGTTTTCAATTTTTATATTTAGATTAGCTTTCGACGAATGGAAATCTTCCGAATTCTTAACTGATTTCGTTTATGATAGTTGGTTTAGTAGTGTGAAGTTGAAGTTGTGATATCAATTGTTAACATAATACATCGAGCGATAGTTTTGAATTGTGATGTCATAATTGTTACAGTTAGATATGAACATCATAACCAATAAAGATGATGTAGTAGATGCTGTATTGATACTAAATATATATAATATTAAATAATAATATAAAATATTATATATAATATAATAATATATAATAATATAATATAGGTAGTATTAAGCTCTATTAAATATATATAATATATATATAATAATATTGACTATATTATAATACAATATATAATAATATAATATACATTAATATATAATAAATATATATAATATATAATTACTACATAACCTAAGATATAATATAATATATTCATATAAATTAGATAAATAATAATTACCATTTCAATACAGTATATTATAATATATATATATAATAATATATATAAATAAATATAATAACATAGTATACTATAATATATGAACCACAAGCACAAGTGAACGGTGTACACAAAATGAAAAATGAGAAATATAGCAACTATAAATGAAAGGAATAAATCCACGATACCGTTTTTAACTATTCAACGTGCTCCTCTTTTAGACAAATTCGAAAGGGATCATTATTTCAAATTTGTCTGAAGAGAAAAGACTCGCGTTGAAGGGAGTTCACCCTCTCTCGTGTAGTTAATGGTTTAAATTTCCTAAAAAATTGGAAATTATATAATAATCTAATTAGTACAGTATATTATAAATTATATATATAATCATAATAATAAATAATTACATACAGTATATATAATATATATGATAGAATACTAATATCTCATATGCTACGTATATATTATAATATAATAGATATAATAAAATATTATAAGATATAATAATATATATATATAAATATTATTATATTATATAATAATTAATATATATATAATATATATATATCTGTTGATGTGTGGTGTGTGTGTGTGTGTGTCGTGTGTGTGTGTGTGTGTGTTGTGGTGTGTGTGTGTGTGCAATGTGTGTGTGTGTGTGTGTGTGTATAATAATAATATATAAAATAATTAATATATATAATATATATATACATAATATAATATATATATATATTAGTTAATATTAAAAAATTAATGTGAATACTGTATAATAGAGTATAATAATAGTCTATAGTTGTGTGTGTCGTGTGTAGTACTGTGTGTGGTGCTGTGTGATGTGTGTGTGTAGTGTGTAATATTGTAAAATAAATCGACAACATATATATAATAATTAATATTATTATATATTATCTATGATATGTAGAAAATAATACATATTTATATAATATAGATATATAGATATAATTTTTATCTATAAGTTCATTATATATGTATGTATATACACTTACTAAATTTATAGTATAATATAGTATAGCTAGTCACATTTATATACTCAATAAAAGTATTCAGTCTAATAATATAAATAATAATATAGCTATATAATATATACTAATGTGATTAAAAAAATGTAGTGTGTGGCGCCAAAACAACACACAACACACACAAACACACACACGAGCACACACAGAAGCAGACAAAACATCGAACACCAGACTACCCACACACACAACACACCACACACGCACCACACACAAACACACATCCACACAAAGCAAATACACTCAAAGCACAAAGACAACAACATCTATCAACATCACAAACACAGAACACACACAATCATCTAACACTCAGACACTACACATCATACACCTAATTGTTACAATAATTAACTAATTATTAAAC